GGGGGGGGGGGGGGGGGGGGGGGGGGGGGGGGGGGGGGGGGGCATCACGGGGGCTCGCGACCGACGGCCAGCTCGCGCGCCGCGTCCCCCCCAAACTATCAAACACGCCAGTAACGGTCGAGCGGCCACATCAAAGCAATTCCCCTTTGCCCGCGAGACGGGAGCAAAGGGACCGGCGGCGAAAGGGAAAACAAAAAAGCGTCACTTACCGGTTGGAAGGTGACTAGAAACGCGCGGCTTTCTGGTCCATGTCAGCCCGGAGGGAAGGGGCCGAGCCGGAATGGGGCTGCGCCGCTGCGGGGGCCTGGCGGTGCTGTCGCCTCGCTGAGTCTGATGGCGTTTGATCCGCAGGGCCACGGAGAAGCCGCTGCTGCCTTCACGGGCCGCCGGAAATCTGGGCCGCGCCGCCGCGCGATGCGCGATGCGCAGGAAGCAAAAAAAAAAAGAAAAAGAAGAAAAAAAAGAAGCTCTATATAAAGGTTTATGAGAGTAATAATGATTTAGTTGTCCTGTGTCTGATACAAAATCTGTAGGACTTTATTTATTTATTTATAAATAAATTTATAAATTTATTTATAATTTAAAATTTATTTATAAATAACTTTACTTTATTTATAAATACATGTAAATAAATACATGTATAAATAAATACATAAATATAAATACATAAATACATGTCCACTAAACGTGTTGATAAATATGTGTGCCACACTTAACTAATTCAATTAGGATACAATTTATAGTTTACTCCTCTGAGTTGGATTATTTCTCCTTGCATTTTTCTTCAACTGTCTTCAACAAATCACAAATGTCTCATAAACTGACAGGAAATATCTTACACCTCTCATCTTTTTGGGCTTTGTACCAACTGCTCAAAATTTGGAGCTTTTTAAATGTAACAGAATAGGGCAAAGCGGAGCCGGCACTTTGAGTGACAGAATAACTGACCAATTGGATGAGCAGAAAATGATTCTGGGTGGGAAGGGAGAGCAGCATCTGTCCACGCCCACAGAGGGGTTGATTATGAACTTTTTTTACACATTTAAAATAAAACACAAGAGCAGACAGAAGTTTATTTGACCACTCCATTTCCCCCAGTCTGCTAGTAGTTTGATTAGTTTAATAGGATACATTCAAATATAGACCTATGTCAACATTTTTCCAAACATATCCTCTCCATATTTGTGTTGCGGATGTTCACATATCTTTACATTGCCAGCTATTCATCACCTGGAATTAACCGCTCACAACGGTTGTATATGTATATATAAATGGTTAAAGCACTTCAATGGTTGTCCAATTAACCTTCCATATGTATGCTTTACAAAAAGTGGAATTTTTAAACCCTTGTTATTTGCTTGGTATCGGTTGCAGAAGTTATTTAAAAAAGTATTTTACTTTTACAATGAGTATTCATCCATTTGAGCTTGAAAACTGGATTTTCTGCCTTTTCACATCCAAAGTTTCATAATTTTCTTTCATCCATTATTTGGTGTAAAGCTTGATTTTCATGCAAGTCTTAATATCTTGCTCGACTTTTTTGTTCTTTCATGACTTCTGTCCACACCCTCATTAATTTCACCCATAGATTTTCCATCATATATATCCTGGTCACAGTCCAATGATCCTGTCAGTCCCTCTCCTCACCTGCACACAGCTGCCCCTCATCTCATGCAATCAGTCCAGTGTTCACACAAATCACTCCCTGACAGATTTTCTCTGCCATGTGAGACTTTCCTGTGTTTTCTTGGCTGTATTCTCGGTACAAACCTCTCCTGTCCCTGATTTCCCTTTCTTGTCTGCCTCCTGGTAAATCGACCCAGCCCCCCTGACCATGAATTCAGCCCCTCTCCTCCTGGTTCCCGTTTGCCGGTTTGTGTCATGTTTGCCTTAAAGAGTTGAACTTTACAACAGTCTGTGAGCCCTCTGTACTGCAATTGGGTCCGTACACCAGTGTTTCCCAATCCTGGTCCTCAAGGTACCCTGCCCTGCATGTTTTCCAAGTTTCCCCGCTCCAGCACACCTGATTCTAATGAATGGGACTTTAGCAGCTTTCTGCATAGCTGAAAAGTCGTCCCAAACTGCCTGGTTTGTGTCCTAGGAGGACCAGAGGCCATTCGGTGTCGAGTTTGGATCTTCTCCACGTGGTTGTGTGGGTTTCCTCTGGGTACCCTGGCTTCCTCCCACCATCCCAAAACAAGCTAAATTGCACCTAGAAGGAAATGTTTGTTAGTTAGTTTGTTTATGCAGATTGCTGTTCAGGGTCTACAGGGTGGGATGTGGGGTACACCCACCCCCTGTCACCCTACCAGGAATAAGCAGTATAAACAATGAAGCAACAAGTAACCCAGCTCCTACTGTCCATGGTTATCATCGTATACCTGAAAACCAAATCCAAAATCCAAACCCCTGTGTTATAACCAAAGATCCACCTTCTCCAACCTTTCATCTGCAGAGGGGCACGCCTCCAGGTCGCATGCAGTGATTACAGGTGTGTTTTTTTAGGGTTTTTCTTTTAATTCTTCCGTCCTCCTCCTTATCACCGGACATCTCGTGGTTGGGCCGATGGGTGCTTTCCAGGCTCATGGCTCTTATGATGATCCTGCTGTTACAGCTGCCCTGGGCCCTCCTACAGCCAGGGAACGGGGACACTTTTTCTAGCAGTTCTGGCCCTTTTCTATGTCCTGCTGCATGGAACAACAAACAAAACACCATGGCAGGTTAAGATACAGAGAACAGTCAGTGGACAGAAAGCGGTTTCTGACTTCAGTAATATTTGGGGTGATAGCTCCATCCAGGCCAAACTCTAGGGGTAAGGCATATGTTATCAGGCTGTAAGGTTAGTCTGTCACAAGGCCGGTATACGTAGTGACATGACCAAATACTAAGAAGCTCATCTGCAGCCATTGAAAGTACATGAAGGCAGGATTTAAGACAAAGAGCGGGTCAGTTCAGTTTCTTTGTCCTATTAAAGCTAATAAGACAATAAGGAGGAAAGGCAGCCTGGAGGATGCTTGTGATTGGGAATAGCAGGTATATATAAGAGGAACGCTTGATGTTCTCCAGGAAATAGCCTCTGAAAATGTGAGGTGGGAAACAGCCTTGTGGTTTGGGAGTAGAATAATTCCCCCATAAATTGGCCTTCATCGGCAAAGGTGGATGAATCAGTTTAATCAGCTTTTGCTGAAGGGGAACCTGAGAGCTATGTGGAAGACTTCCTCACCACCCAACAGTGAGAAGGTCAATCTGAATACAGACGTTGCATAGAAATAGAAACCTGAGAGGCTGAGCACGTACATTGTGTACATCTGCAGAGTCAGCGAGAAACACCTCAAGGTGTTAGTGTTAAGAAATCCTGAGAACAGCCGTTTGTTGATTATTCGGTACACTGCAGAGCTTTAAGGATTCTTCTGACAGGTGACACTTGACTCAGATTACAATGTTTCAACAGAGGGAATTGTTGTGAATAGACGTTTGCTGCTCAAACAGTGAATCCACTTCATTCTTTTTGGTGAAGCATAAAGGTAAAACATATATTCGGTTTTCTGACCAAATCCCCTCCCTCATGTCTGACAACGTGTGCAATTAAACAGGTATGTGGAGATCAGGGGGTCAGAGATCTGTGTGTAAAAAGGCCTGAAGTTGAAATATAATTCATTTAGTTTGACAGCTTTTCTAAATCAGATAAAGTAGGTTTGCAGTATTTCCTCTGGCAACAAACTGTTTTTAACACTATTAGTCATGTTTCCGTTTGGACATGTTCCAGGTGGCAGCCTGTCTTCCAGCAGTGAAACTGAACCCTTTTGAATTTCATTTTACAGTTAAAGATGAGCTCATTTCCTATTTTTGATAGTGAGGTGTGGCTATACAGCATGTTCATCTCTTTGAAATTCCAATAACCTCATGTATTTGAAGATATTAAGAAAAACGGTGTGAGAATTGGTAGAGCTTTATTAAAGTTACATAAGATTTTTAATAAACATATGTCCCATTAACTTTCATTGTACAAATAAAGTCAGTTTAACACCATATAATCAGAGCAATAACATCAATGTAAAAGTGAGTCGATGCACATGAACAGTTTAAACATGTTTTTCACACAACATCAAGTATTTGTGGATGAACTTTCAGAAACGATGAGCCTGTCCACCAGTGAGCTTTTGTGTTGATTATCTCTGTAAACACTACCACTTTATTAGTCTGTTTTTTTGTTTGAGGTCATAGACAGACTTACTGCACAGAAAATGAGTGAACTTGCATTTTTATGTTCTGTTGTTCGTGTTCCTCGCCAGGTTTCTGCACACACATTAACACTGATAAACTAGCAGTACGTTCATTTTACTGAACCTGGAGAGCTGCTTGCTGAGTTTGTAAGTAATTTCAGCGCATCAGCTCTCGTTAAACAGATTTGAAAGTGTGTTGTCAATGTCTGTGTCTGTGTGGTTACAAAATTCAAGTTACAGATATGATAATGTCTATGTCAAACCTGGATAAAATCGTGATAATAAAAAAAAGTGTAAACAGAGACGTGAAATCTCCACATGAACCGTAACATTCAACCAGAACTTCTAACAATAAAACACATTTTGTTCTAAAAAACTGATTCACTCTGTCATTGTTTCTTTACTTTTTATAGTTCTTGAGTGACCAAAACATGATGAGATTGTGAAGTATACTCTTCCGATTCAGGAAGTTTTTCAAAGTCACACTCACGTGTTGCAGTTAATGCCCAGTGTGTGTGAGTCAAGTGTAAATAGCTGCAGTCCATGGGTGGTTGTTAGGTTTTGCACATCCTTCACAACGCCAGCGTCCACGTGCACAGAGACTGAAGACCGTATCACAGACATATGTTTGCTTACATACTTAATTTATATTCAATTTAATGTTATCAGTTGTATTCATCTGTCAAAAACATATATAAGACAATAAAATGGATCAAATATATTTACTGCATATAAAACACAAGAAAAAATAAAAACACTTAAAATACCGTTGTATCATAAGTCAGGGGGTGGGTAACTTTCAGAGACCCGTTAAAACAAAGTCTAGTTTGAACTTCCACTGGAAGCATAGACTTGTGTCTTTAGAGAAAAAAGGCTCTAATCCATCCTGGGGCTGCTGACCGCTCCGTTCCTCAGGGAGGAGTCCAGGATGACCGTCCTCACGCCACCGTCCTCCTCACTGAAGGGGAAAACAAAAAGGAGACAATTTTATCTGTTACTTTAGTATAACATTCAGTTTAAAATGATCTGTTTTTAAGAAAATATCTGCCACAGGACTGAGCCAACCACTTCCATTTGGTGATAGACGCTGTTAGGTCATGTTGATGTTAAATTTAGGTCATGTTGAGGTTGTTAAGGTCTCATAATACAACTCTATTGCACACGTGCACGGCACATGACGTCTCTTTGACCATTATTTGTCCGTTTCTTTACTTTCCCTTGCAATGCAACAGTTTAAATAGATTTGGTAACATTAAAGCACCTAATAATCTTAATCATTCAGCTTTGAAAAATGATGATGAAATGAAAAATTTCTGATTTCTAGAAGAGGTGAGGTAAACAGGTTCACCCAATATTACGGCTGACTTTTTTTTTTTTTTTTAAACCCGACCCTCCTGACCAGATTGCACGTTTGAGCATGGAGGTGAAAATCAAAGGCTGATAGATAGATGCACGAGAGAAATGTGGGCAGTAGGAATTAGAGAGGGATATGAAACAGAAACCTGACACAGAAAAAGAGTTGTGGTGAAAAACAGGATGTGTCTCTTTTGAGGCTTTAGATTGTGGTGGAAGAACTGCTCCCTGTCTGAGAGTTTTGAGTCCATTTAGCTTTTAATGATGTTGTTTTATACCCTATCATGTGCCCCATGCCTCTAACAATTCAAAAAGGGGCCTGATTTTCCTTCCTTTCCCCAGAAGGACTCAATAGACATGTGTATGACTGCAACCTATTAACATCTAACAAATCAAAAAAGGAAAATGGTTATGCTCCTGTTGCTCTTTGGGCCTGATTTTCCCTCCTTTTCTCCTTTTTATGTCTGGAAAAAACTGGTGCAACCAAAAGGCCACAAGTTCCTGTTGATGATCCCTCTGAACCGGACAGAAAACTCTGTGGCTCCAGAGGGTCCGTCCAGCAGATTCAGGTCTGGACAGAATGATGTGTGACCGCCTGGAGTCTGAAACTTTGTCAACGACAGATAAAAGTCCGAACGTTTGGGTCCCACCTGAGGTGGACCCCCTCCACGTCCTCGATGGAGTCGGGGAGGGGCTTGTTGGCGGTCTCGGGCAGGAGCAGGGTGAGGGCGGAGCCCAGCAGGGGGCAGAGGCCGCACAGCACCATGGGGGCGTGGGGGCTGATGCCCCTCAGAAGGTACAGCATGGGGGCCAGGACCCCCCCGATCCGCGCACACATGGAGCCGATGCCGATTCCGTTCTGCCTGGATATTAAAACGGTGAGAAGACAAAGTTAGGGCTGTTGGCAACGTGGGATCTGAGTGATGTCATGATTTCTGATAGGCTGATCGGTAAGACCTGGAGTTAAATTACATCTGTCTATTTTCTATTGTGCAGCTTTTTATCTCCAACCTTTAGATCAGAATTCTCATTTATAAGGCAACATTATTCTTAAAACTTGTAGGAGAACTGTTTAAGTTATAAGCTTGAAAAGGAGTAAAGTGAATAATTCAAGTTTATAATTACTAAGGTAAAATATGGATATTTATGTTTCTCTTAACCATTGATGGCCTTGATTGCTTCTGTCCTAAAATCTGCAAATTGGGCCGATATTAAAGTTTTCAGCAGTCTTTAAGCGGACTTCAGGCTCGTGTAAGTGTTTGGTGAAGGAAGAATTGTTCTTTTTTATCAGGTTTTTGCACCAAAATGACACCTTCTTCGAATGAAATGTGTTTGTCGATGTTAGGAAACAACAATATTGTTAAAAATGGGGACCAGAGGCCGTTCAGTGTCGTTAAATGAAATATCAAGTGGAAATCTAACTCTAAAATAAACATTTTTCATTTCAATATTTGTTTTTTTTTGCTCCATTTAGCAATCATGCGGCAAGAATAAGCAAACAAAACAAGTAAGATTTTATCTGATGGCTTGAATTCTTACTAAATCAACGCTAGGATACATGACAACCATCCGTAGACTTCCCATTTTAGATCTGCCTCAGTGATGTTTACGATTGTGCTCTCCTCTATTTGTGTACATACTGGTATGCTAATTACAGCACTGTGACAAATGTTTGCATTGTAAAACTGTTTAAAATAACTGAGATGTCAGAGGCATAAAGGCAAGGCATAAATCAGTGGCTTTGGTAAAGACTTCATGGATTAGTTTATGCTTCAAAAAGCCCTGACATTTGTTTCTGGAGGCACTGTAAACCTATTTAAGTCAGGAACACAGGAAGAACTGGGACTGTTAGTGTGTGTGGATGCGGGGGGGGGGGACTCACCTGATCACAGTGGGGAACACCTCAGCCGAGTACACGTAAATAATAGACAGAGAGGCTGTGATTCCGAACTTCCCAATCATGGCCAAGACTGTTTTGAGGATAGACAAGTCTAAAAGAAACGATTCGAACAGGGGAAATGAAACGGCTTTTGATCAAATCTGGACAGACGGTGGTGAAAGTACACACTTTGGGTTAGATTGCGCACACACGTGGGTACGTACCGTGGGGGATGAAGATGGTGAGCAGGCAGGCGGAGCCCCCCACGGTGAGGAAAGCCAGCTGGGAGATCTTGCGGGAGCGGTTGAGGGTGAACAGAGTGATGGTGCGCGCCGGCATCTCCACCAGGCCAAAGATCATCTGCGTCAGGTAGATGTTCATTCCGAAGTCGGAGATGTTGAGGGACAGCCCGTAGTACACCAGCACATTGACGAACCTGAAATATAAGAATATAAGAAAAGGGAAAGAATCATTTCTGTTGGAGCTATTTGTTCTTTATTTCTTTATGCATTTGAATTTTTGTTGGTTAATTCTTAAATGTATATTTTTTGTATTAATTTACAGTATTTATTTTGCAGGTTAATAATTGTTGATTCTATTTAATTTCTTGTCTTATTATTTTTCTTATTCATTATTTGAGTAAAGCAGGAAATGGGTCATGTGGGTCAGTCCACTTGCCTATAAATATAGGGGCCTGGTAAAGGACCAGCAGGCATATGGGTTGGGGCCTATGGTTTTACCAGGACAAGAGATTAGAACAAGAGACAGAGAAAGCAAGAGCCAGAGAACAGAAAGTTTGAACTCTGTAATTGTTGCAAAAAAGGGAACCAATAAACCTTCAACAGTAATCAAGAAGTTTGGATATGAAATCGTTTCTTTCCTGCGTATAGAAACTGGACCCCATTGCCTCTTAGTGGCTTGAGGAACTTTTCATTTGATGTTTGATTCGACAAACAATCGCCACTATAATTTCCAAGAAATTCTGGCAGGCGATTCAGTTTTCCTCTAAAGTGACATAACTACTAGTGACCACTAGATGGTGCCAAAGGTGAGGATTTTCAAATTCCACCCAGATTGGCATTCCCGAATCTCCAGCTTTGATCAGTGAATAATCCTTTACTGTTCTCCATTTAGTGGTCTACAGGAATGAGCAGCTACTTGTTTGATAGCTCGTTGAACAGAAGGAAAGCTGCAAACACGATTTACGTCGAGTTAATTCACGTCGAACTCAAAGTCACGATTTATGAGGCCCCGACATTTTCCTCAGCACAATAGCGCGCTGTTGAGTTTAATTAACTTTTAAAGCCATCGCATCGTCAACAGACTCTTCCTAAACAATAGAATGTGTGGTTTTGCAGGAAGCTTTTGGGCAGAGACAAACGCGTAATAGAAAATCTATCTGAAAGACATTTCGCGACCACAATAGTCAGGAATTTGACAGATCACGCAACACTGGTATTTGCCATATAAGTCCCATGAGAAGTTGAGCCAGTGCATTGTTTAAAAGGGAGTAGGTTGCCTCTGGAAAATGCTCTAGTGCTTCTTAACTAACTGCAATATATGAATGGTAACTAGTTTAACTAAGCGCTAACCCATTCAGCTTGAGTTAGTTTAAATAATAAAGTTTCAGTAGACTCACCTTTTTAATAGTCAGTGTGTTTGGGAGTGCTTCACTGTACAATTTTAGAGCTCTTTGAAACACAACCTTTGTTTCATAAATACTATCAATTCCAGTGGTGGTGAAGTACTCACTATGTTTCGTTTAAATGAATTATTATCGCATAAAAAAACCCATCTGTTTTTTTCCCCCTAACTGTGTGGATTGTGGTTTGTTGGCTGATCATTCTAGCTGCTTATGGTAGCTTTCCATGTCTAGATTTTCTTCATTTTGTTGAGTTTTCGGCAGCAAAGCCGGGGCTTGACAAAGATGGCAAAAAGAGAGCGGCGAGCTGAAACTTCCAGATAGACAGGAATGCAGAAAGGCCACAAAACTCCAGCCCCTCCTGTTTTATATGGGAGCCAGAGACCGTGGACTGTTTGGGTTTGTCATTGTAAAACAAGAAGAAGGGGACGGAAAAATAGAGGTCACAGCCACGAGAAATGCGCTGTGCCTCTTCTGGTCGAGGTCAGGAGTTGTTTTTCCATCCTTAATACTTTGGACATCATAATCATTTTGGTTCGATAAGATAATCGCTGCTTTGGGGATTGTAAGTTTTAAAATCAGCTCCCAAAGCCACGCGAATTAAATCAGCCAGCAGAAGAACTTTGCTTTCAGGGGCATTTCTGATATAGAAGAAAGTTCTACGGGTCTTCTACATGTGTTTGTAGACAAGTCTGGACATAGAATTGAGGTTACCTAAACCATGCTTCTCTTTTCTAATGTGAACTTTTTGGCAGGCGTCTATTAAAGGGTGAGTTGACAAAACGTGGGAGAAAAAGAATGTCTTTACTGCGTCCATAAAATGTGATATAATCAAAATATGGGGCTTTTTAAAATAGCTCCCATTAGCCCCACTGTTGCGTTAAAGCACACAAGCCGTGAGGCGTGTTTGGTATTCTGTGAATGAACAGCTTGTTAATGTGATACTTGGGATGGAGGAGGGGGTTGGATTCACAGAAGGCAAAGTGAGGAAATTTTCTGACCCAACCAGAAAGCCAACACTTGTCATTAGTCCTTTAACCAGCCTAAAACTCTCAGAAAGACAAATGGACAGGTGGGTTTATCGTAAAATTAAATTACACACTGCTACACTTTTCTGTGAGCTATGATGGTAAGAGTGATGAGCAAAAACGGCCTTCAGACTTTGTAGTAGTGTTAATAGTATCTGTTGGGGAGAGAACTGTTTCTGAATGTGTTCGATTGTGCGTCACCTTTGCTCTTGGAGGCTATGAAAAATAGCACTCGGTGTTGTTGACATATAGTTCTATCTCCTTTTCTTCAAACAGGAAGATAGCAAATGACCTGGTTTGATAGAACATGAGGAGCTCGTGAGGCACACTAGTCATTTTCATACCACGGTAACAGCACAGGAAGTCAATTGAAGCCAATCTGAAGTTGATTTTACGGACTTTCCCTTTAACAAAAAAAGCTAAGCCCTTTTTACTATTCCCTGAAGCAATTTTTCCGGTGGATTGTGGTCTAGCAGTGCTCCACCGCACTTAAGACAATCCAGACTCTTTTCATGTGTCGCTACACGATGATGGATGGACCCACCACCGACTGGTAGAACGGGAATGTCCCCGTCTCTCTCCAAGAAACTCTTGAAGACCAGATCTTAGAAGATCATCTCCTGCCCTAAGTCTTCCCCTGTACCCCCCCACCCCCTCTACCACTCTTCTGTACTTCCCTCTGTCTCTACACTGTCACCACTGCGTCTGACTGCTGATTTCCTTCCTTGAAGGTGCGTTAAGTCGCATTTTGGATGAAATGCTAAATGTATTCACATAAAAATAAGTGTATGAACTATAGAAGGAGAAATGATCAGATTAAAGTCCTGTTTCATTTTGTACCTGATATGAAATACAGATAGAACCACCACACCGACTAAACCGGGACTTTTATAATATACTCTTGATCCTGGTGTGTAATGTAAATATCAGCAGATATAAAACCTACCTTTCATTTTTAAAGTTCTTAAAAAAATACAGCTCCTACAGAACTTCCATACAGCTTCTGATAGAGGATTTATGCCTTTTTTTGGATCTCAGTGACGCATTTGGATCTCTTTTACAGACTCAAACATGTTACTGGAACTAAACGGACTACATTGGCTGGGTTTGAATCACATATATCTGATAGATTCCAGTTTATTCATTCAAATAAAGAATTTTCCTTCAACAACAGAGTAATCCAAGTACTTTGGCGGGCCTCTGTGTTTGGACCAATTCTTTTCACTTTATATATGCGTCCGTCAGGAAAATGATTAGAAAGCATGGCATCAATGAGGTGAAACTAAACAGTTACTTAAACTTCAAACATGTTTTGAAGACACAAAAACTTGCAAGACTTGAATTTCCAGCTTTTGAAAGGAATCTGTACTGCTTGTGTGAGGAATCTTTTGGGGATTTTTGACCCAAATCAACCATTTGACTCACAAAATCAAATGATAAAACAGGTTTCTTGGGTCATAGAATCAGGAGAACCCTCTCTCAGATTGATGCAGAAAAGCTAGCAAAAGGTCTTGCTAGGTTGGACTACTGTATTTTATCTGTTTTATCTATTTTATCTGTTGTTGGGCTGTTCCAAAAATCTCCAAAAGTCCTACAGGTCTCAAACCGGTCCAAAGTTCTGCAGCCAGAGGTCCCATGAAAATGACAAAGAAAGATCATATTTCTCCAGTTTTAGCTTTTCCTCTGTCAGATTAGGAGTTGTAATTCTGCTCCTGACATTTAAACTATGAATGACCAAACTCCATCAAGACTTCATAATTAGATATTTTCTAATACTTCCAGACTGCAGGTCTGTTAGTGATTTTTCTAGAGTTTCTAAAAGTCCAATGGGAGGCACTTAACACCCCCTCTAATGGAACCATCTGACAGTACTTCATTACTCTGGCTTTGCCAGAAGTTTCTTCCTGTTAAAATGGATTTTAGCCTGTATGTGCTCATGATTGAACAGAAGATTTGGTGCAATCTGCTGTTTTTTTTCGATAGGAAAAATTGCCATCAAATGAATTCCATCCATCCATCCATGTTTTATCTTATTTGATTAAGTTGAACCAATTTAATTTGATTGGATATAATGAATTAGATTCTAAGTGCCCGGAAACGACATTTGTGTGATTTGGCTCTTTTTAAAATAAGATTGAATTGGATTAAAATGCTACTTATGTATCATACACAAATACATCAAATTCATCTGTATGCACCATTTATATAATAAATGGTTTTCTTGGTTAAGAAACTTATTGTTGATTGGCTCCATATTAATTGGACTAATTTGGGTTTGATCAGGTTAAAATTGTTGGATTCTGTTGTATCACTCAATTGTCTACAAATGACATATTTTGTGATTTGGTGCTATATGGAGTAAATTGAATTTAAGGGAAAACACACTGTAGTCGCTGTAATTTAGTTCTTGGAGAAAAATAAATCTTGGAGACAAGAAGCTGATTTCAGTGAACACAGTAAATTCTCCCTGCTTTGAACAGATTGGATGAAGACTGATTTTAAAAAAAGCTGAAATGAAAGAGGGTTAAGTTCTGTTTGTACTCACCAGAGATAAAAGACTATCAGAGACTGCTTCCTCATCGTTGGGGTTCGAACAAGGTCAAGGAATGAGTATTTTTTCTTCACCACGGTTTTCTCTTCGGTTTGATAGACCTGGTGAAACATGAGTGTGGCCGTTAGCAGCAGCCTCTGCAGTTACGGTGATAAAATGATGTTTGAGCAGTTTGCATGATAGCCTTTTAGCTATCTATGCAAAGTAATAATGCTGGCTTTAATAAAACAGTCATGCATTTCCGAGGGACTGTGACACAGTCAGTGCTTTTGCTCTTAAAGCTGTTCCATCAAATCTGATGTTTGTTGCTTGTTTGTGTTATTTCTACTTTGCTTAGTTTATCTACTCTGATATAAGCTGCCAATGCCAAAGCTTGTCTGTACTCACGGCACCAAAATTAAGAATATGGATGGAAGATTTGGCATGAAAAGCATGTTTACCGCGCAGTGCCAATACACAAGACATATCGAGTTTCAGCACTGATTGCTAGCTATCAGCAAGTTTGGCACCACTTAACGTAAAAACATGTAGTTTTTCCTAAAAAACGGAATGGAAATGAAGTATAGAAAGCATAGAAAACAATAATTAGGCAACAGGGTGCACCCTGGACCCTGTTAGCAGTCCATTACAGGCAAATTAGAAAGACAACCATGCACACCCACTTCTAGATCAAATAACCTAGCATGCATGTTTTAATCTATATGCACATATGATGTGTTTCCAAGCCAAAATAACACTTTCAAGAAAAACCTTGTGAATGATGAATGCAACGTCTTTTATCATATTCCTACTCGATTTTTAGCCTTATTTGCTATTAGTTGAACGTTAGCAGCTGAAGCTAGAAGGCAAGTAACAATTATTGATGCCTCTGTATGTAAATAGGGAAAGAAGCAACAAAAATAACATAATTTATCTCCATGTACTGTCCACCATAGACCAATACAGTACTGTCATCTTTGAAGCCATGGCAAAATCTGAAATCTAGATTTTTTAAAAACAGAAAAAAAGAAAGATGTTCACCGATATGTCAGTGGAGGATTAAGATTTACAAACAAAACAAACAGCTTTGGCTTCTCTGTTCAGCTAATAAATATGACAAGAGCCGGTCATCGGTTTGTCATAATCGTGGCAACACATTTTTACTTTCCTTTGGTGAACATCTGTTTTATAGATAAAATCCAGGTTTTGATCTGATCTCAATTTGATGGTTCTTCATAAATGATTTCAACTCAAGCATTTCCATGTGCAGTTTTCCATAGTACTGTGTGTCACCGAGATCAGACACACAGTCAGAGTTAGACAGAGGTTTCTCAAAAATATGAGTGACTAATCTTCCTACAAAACAGATTTTAGGATGTGAACTTAATTTAATCTATTTAAGTCTGAGAGCTTTAGCTCAGTGTGAGGTTTTACACATGATCATTAACTAAAAAGTGAGAACTGCCCTTGTCTACCTTTTGTTTCAGAACTGGAAGATGAGGATTTCTTATCATGCATGCACTATTGTTATTGTAGAATTGATACAAAGCCAGTTACCAACAGGGGTGACAGCTATGTGGATGGGTCATTTATTAACATTACTGTTGACATTTAGAAAAAAGGATAAAACGGAAGAATCTGTAAATGCTAAATATCTCCACCTGATACATCTCCAGGTCTTTAGTGAGGGGCTTTCCATTCATCTGCGCTGCCTTCAGGATCACCTCCCATGCTTCGTCTCTTCGGTCATTGGCCATTAACCAACGAGCTGATTTTGGCAAAACCCTAAAAATGCGGAAATAAATAGCTTAGGGGACAACTTTCAAAACAAATGTACATAAAGAGATCTAATGTAATGAGAGGTTCTCTAAATTTGTCTGATTTGTATTATTAATTGCATGGCCTTTATATCACTTTAGGGCATTAATTACTCTTTTTTTTTGTTGTTGTGTCAAATGAAAACCAACATAAGAAAGTTAATTTACAGTAAGGGTCATGTATAACACAACCACAAAGTCAGAAAGCAGATTCATCAATACTAAAATGACTCTAAAAGGTTTTTTGCCTGTTAAAGGGGACATATTACTCTTTTAAAAAGGTACTTCAGAGTTTAGCAGTTTATTTTTCAATAACTCTGGTTAAATAATGTTAGGAAACTCGTGGGCTGTTTTTCTGCTCCTGCAGTGCTCGTGGAGTCTCACCAGATGTAGACAATGAAGACAAAACCAGGCGCCGATATTGCCAGCTGCAGCTTTCGCCAGTCCCTTATGAGATATGCCACTCCAGCCAGTAAAATGTATCCAAAGCCAAAGAAGTAGTCGGTGATTATTCCGGCCAGCATCCGCTGTTTTAATCCAGTCCACTCTGTGCCTGCGTGGCAAGAAAATAGAAAAACACAGTAGTATGAATGCAAAACAAAGAGTAATGATCACTACTATTCATACTAGCAAATGAAGTGTGATACATGAATCGTTATAGTCCAGTTTTCTGTTGCCAGAATTTGTTGGTATATTAAAACACTGGAGTAATTCCCATGGCACACGAGGCCTGGTTAACTATGAGGATTAAAGTGTGAGTATTTCAAGCTTTTGTTCAGCAGTAACTGTACTACTTTCCTCCTGAGAAAAAGATCTGTATGGATGAGAGTAGACATCCCTAAACAAGCTGTCTTTCATATTCTTTTCATATTTAATTTAATATTTAAGTCTTTGTGGACATATTTCAGAGTATGCCATTGTTGTTTAGAATGCCAACGTGTTTTAATGCTTTATCTCTAAAATAAAGTCATCATCAAAGAGTGGAGTCTTCTCAGGGTCTAACTCTGAGAATACCACTATGGATTCCTTTTGAAATGCAGGTAGAATTTCCCAATAAATAAAGGTAAAAAGAAAAAATGTGCAGGACCTTTCAAATAAATAAACAAAACATTTACTTTACTGTTTTGTACTGCAAATATGTCACCCATTTTCCTGATGTTAACCTGTTTATGTCTTAAGAATGTCTTATTTATTCCTCCCATGTGTAGTCAATCAGATGGGGTGATACTTTGGCCAGTTGTGATTTTTTGATATTTTCAAACCTTTCATCTTTAAAAAAAAAACTCTTTTTCTCTTCTGCTCAGTGAACTACTTTGCGGGGCACTCACCTAGGACAAATGCATTCATGATAACGCCCGAGATCGACGTTCCAACCATAAAGCGCAGGACGGTGTAGACGTAGAAATTAGGGGCAAAAGCAACAGCCACTCCGAAAGTTGCTTGTATCGCCAGGCTAATGAGAATAATGATCCTGCGCCCATATCTAGAAAACAAAGACAAAATACATCATAACTTGGTCAATTTCACGGTTAGACAACTGTACTTATTCAGAATCTACAGGAATAAATACACAAACAGAAAGAGAGACGATACATGATTGATTGAGCTGTGGCCTGAAAGTAAATGGACAGTTCTTAACTTACTTATCAGCCAAATGTCCAAACACAACCGCTCCAACAAGGAGCCCAAACATGTAGATGGAAGAGCCCAAATTGTTCAGGCTGGCATTTTCACAAACCAGGTCCCACTGGAAGAGGAAACAAAAAGACTTTGGATTATCAGAGTCGATACGCATGGACTCAGAGTCTGGGATCTCTCTGATTGTTGGTTTTTATTATGCAGCCATAAAATTAGCTGAGAGTTAGGGGTTATGGAATTAAGCTATTTAACATTATGTAGAGGTTCTCATTCGACCGGGTCATGGTTTTAATAAGACAACTGGACTTCAGCTCTGAAGGCTGAAGAAGCCTTTTGAATGAGAGGGGAAATGCCTTCAATATCCAGAAAATAGTCCAGTTTCCTTTATTCAAGCTCTTAAGACTGTTCCACCATAGTGACATTTGGCTTTACCCTCAGAAAAGCCCATAAAAAAAGACAAGAAAATAATAAGAATTTCATTTTTTGATAGAATGAGCAGAATACCTCTTCTGTTTAAAGTTGGAATCTGTTAGAAATGAAACAGGCAGCTTACAGCCATGCTCTTGTTAGGTTCCAGATCCCCTTTAATCAACTGCACGCCCCCGTTTGTTGTCAACTTAACGCGGGCCGTGTGTGCGAGGCGTTAATTGCCACGTGGGACGGTGCATTGTCCAATCCCGTCATTATGGTCACGTAACTGCATTTGGCGCTCACACCTCGTGTTCACGTGTCCCAAACGTACCCTCCCAGGGCAAGAAAAGGAGGCTCGGAAGATGCCTGCACTGCATGTGTCCGTCTCTCAGCCCTCACCCCATTCGGCCCCTGTCTCAGATATCAGCAGGACTCAGAGTCTGAGTCTGTAAAACCGCTAAGTCTCTGCACCCTCTACTGCTGCGCGGAGCTACTGCCCTGAACATGTTAAGACAAATGACAAACCGTGTGAATTTTTTCTAAGCTCGATCTTCTGAGAGATTTCTCCCGGCTGGGTGTTTTTTTTTTTTCTACTCACCTCGGTTACTATGGTGCTCTGGAATGTGTCGGTGCTGTACTCCCAGCCCCCCTGGCAGCTCGCGGCCGGGCGTCCCTCCCCGGGAGCACCGCTCTGGTTCAGGTGGATGGTGCAGGAGTGGTCGGCGGGGGGGGTGGGGAGGCTGGAGGAGTTCAGAGAGCCCGGAGCTTCTGCCGAGGGCCGCCAGGCCCGGCACAAGTGAGCAGGAACGGCCCCGGTGAACACTGAGACCAGCATGTGGAACGCCAGGAAGATCTGAGGTACACAGATCCACACATACAGGATCTTCTGGAACTTCCCAAAGCCTCCAATGACACTGAGAATTTCATCGAAATTCATGGCTTTGGCTGTTTTTTTTTTTTCTGGACGCGCACTTGGTGTATGCCTTTTTTTTTCTGACTGATCTGTTCTGTTTACGACGGTCCCAAAGTGCTATTAAAATCAAGCCGCCCTCAGATGCTCGGCGGATAAAGGCGGAGAGCAGTCAAATGTCTGTTATAAAGGCTGGACTTAATGTCTGTTTCAGGCAGATGATTAACAGGAAGAGAAAGTTCCCTCATTCAGAAGCAGTCACACCTGTGTTGTGCTGCTCTGACAGCGACCTGTAGCTATTTGTAGTGAGAAGTGAGGCTGTGTGAGTGTGATCTAACATTGGAGTGATGGGAGTGGACTTAAAGTGGAGAGGGCGGCGTTTTTGGAGCCCGTGGGAGGAGTCGACCCGCAACGGTCGACTCGCCTTTCTTTTATCTCTCCGCCCCTACTCCAAAGTTTCATAAGTTTAAATTAGGTAACCTTTTTTTACTCTACACATAGCGCTTGTGTTTGTGTCTCACAGCTGACACGGGCATGCCTGATTTTGTAATACATTTATACACAACCATCCTCCCACAGACCACAAACCCCACAGTTTGTGCAGTTTTTTTTTTTTTAATGGAAAATGCTCAGGTCTCAAATTACCGCTGGAGATTTTCTTTCACTTTTTCAGTTGCCAAACTCGTTCAATTGTTCGGAGAACATTACAGTAGGCATTCAGCTTATTTTCTGCTCCCCAAAGCCATGTGGGTGGAGTGAGACTCTAAGCCGGGGATAACAAAAGGAGCAGTCAGATAAAAAGGAGAGATTTTAAACTTCTTTCACAACTCTGCACTCATCCCCCTTCATTAGCTGTCATTACCTTCCCTTATAAGATCATCACGTGTGCTGAGACCTAACACAGGGACACTCTCTCTCTGTGGATACTATGTGGATAGTGCTATCGAAGCCATTCACAAAAGTGGAACGGAGCCCCCGGGGGTAATCCGAGAGCCCTCTGTTCTCTCTTCCACTGTTCAAGTTTCGAAATTCTTGACTTAATTCTTGAGGTCCTATTCAAAGCGTGTAAATTGGTAATGCATAGTACAATGGTAACTGGGAATATGTTCACAAAAACAAACTCTGGCAGAAGAACAGCGGTACAGGGTGTTTTATTTCATCCAAAGCAGGAAGGCAGAGCACTGTATATTGTGAATGCAGTGTCCTTGGTTAAATCACTGCATTACGTCCTAATCCTGGAATGAGATACTGTAAAAGAAAAAAAAAAGAAGAAAAAAAAAAGTCGTTTCTACCAGCTAAACCGTAATGATGGAATTGCTATATATTTTCAAAAGGCATAAAAAGCATCTGGTAGTTCCATACAGTGTTCACCAAAATATCACGTATCACATATTTTACGCCATCTGTTAAACGTGCACTGCGACCCTCCCGTGCTCCACATATTGGAGCACCATCTTGTGGTTACTTCAGTCCAATCAATCCAGTAAAACGGAACCGAGGCAAAAACTTAACTAAACTTAACCATTCTCAAGCTCCTTCGGTTTCACTGTAGGATTCACTGTAGTTTAAAACACGCATCTGCTTTAAAGAGATGCAAAGCACGCATGCAAAGTCTTCAAGCACCCCCTGAGAAACTGGAATACAAGAGCCAGTGTACAGGGACAAAAGGGACACAAAAGTGACACAAAACAATATTGTTATGTGTGAAAACATGCAGGTGTCTTAATATACTTTAACCAATATGATTATAAGTATATCCACCAGCATTTTTATTTTAGTTAGAACTTATCCTTGTACTTGAAAATGATTAGAATGATCAAATGAAAGAGAAATCAGCTCTAGCTGACTGACATAATCAGTAGTTGCTCTCTTAAGAAAAACAAAAGAGCAAAAGATTGATATGGGATCGGAGGCTCTCAATTTCAATTCAATTTTATTTATAAAATATATTTTCCCCATTGAGGAAAGAAACTAGCCGTTTATAACTGCTTGGCAAGTCAAGTTTAAGTGGGTGAAGATGTTTCCCTGTCATTAAGACATCAGGAACCACGACTGACAAACAAAACAACACAAAAACTTCCGCATTCAAAGCGCACCACGAAAGAGGAGGAAATTAATCTGGGTTTTTTTCTGTAGATCCTCTGAACCAGGTCCCGTTCGGGTTCTACTCCAATTTACTCGGTCTTCAGGTCTCATTTCTAAAAGTTGGGAATAGGAAATAAAATCTGCTTGCGCCACTCTCCACGGAAAGATTGTAATCTTTTCTGGGAAACTTGAGGGAAAATTTGCGTTCCTCCGAAAAACCCAGACCCTCGTACGCGCTGTTTTTTACAGGAGAAACTGGCACCAAGGATGTTGTGGTGCGTAACTGAAGCCATGCTCAGGCATGAAATTGAACTCGAGTCGAACTTTAGTGATCGACTTTATCATAAGCATTTAAAAAAAACAGCAGTGTTATTTACGCTTGCGCTGGTGAGCCAAAACTTTACGCAGGGATTTCTCACGTAAATAAAAACATCTAGTAAGAAAACGTACGACTAAAATTAAAGTTCACACGACATGCCACCTTGTTCTCACCATCACACTCATCTCTGATGAGCAGCACGCGGACGGGGAAGATTAACAGAGATTGTGTGTGGGGCTCCAGACTGACCGCTAAACTTTTGGACACCGTGGAGACCCTCGTGCGTAACGCTGTGCGCGGGATGCATTGGCACTGCTGGAAGTCCATGCAAACGGATCAATTAGGAGGTAACGCGTTTTTTTAGGGATGACTAATACTTTTCTGGCTCATGATGATGACTAGAAACTGGCTCTTACCAGCACGGATCTGCGTAAACCCAGACTATAATCATCAATTAGGCTACTGAATTTTCCGCCTGCAGCCATTTTAGAAACAGCATATTATCCATAGGTCTGGGATATCTCAGGAATAGTGGATACATCACATTTCCATACACTTTGGAAGAACAGGTCCAAATTAAAAGCCAGTACGCGGCAGAATCCGGTTTTCCAAATGGAAGCGACGCAAGTATGAGTCACAACGTGTTATCTCTCACGACACTTTGTCATTATTCACGGCTGCCAAACGAGATAGGTTTTCGACTCTCCACCTCACTCACCAATAATTCTATTTCTTTTGCTTTTCTTTGCCATTTTTCCGCGGTTGCTATAGGTACCCGCGGAATAACATGAATAGGATGGCTCTTTTAAATCCACATTGACACCCATTATGTGATTAGTGGTTGAATGTGGGTCTTTAGAGGGCGGAACACGGACTGGAACTTTGAAAGATGAGGCGCAGCTTTGATTTATAAACGGGAAATTGCGCACTGGTGTGCGTACGTGTGGTTTTTATAAATCTTGATTCTTTTTTCTGCGTTTGGGCGTCCCTATGCTTTTAATAAAGATAATATTTTATGGATGGAGTCACTCATAATCCTCTCCATTCACCCACCCTAATGAACTGTTTCACCTCAGCTGCTGTTCATTCACCAATTACTCTCCTTTATATTTAACTTTGTCTGCTCCCGTAATCCCCTTATTGTGTTATGGGAGTTTGTTTTATTCTAAGTGCTTTGTTTTTATTGTTTCTGGCTTCTTTATGCCTTATTTGTCTAGTTTATTCTAAATTAAAGGGGTTAGGCAGTGTAGAAAATGGATGCTCCTCCTCAACCTTCTGCCTTCCATGTCTCCAATTTGGATTCTAGCACCACAACCTGATAAAAAAAATGTACTCCCACTACACATTCTTCACCGTGACACAAATTATGAGCTCACGTTCACCTTATACGTGACATAACCTTGTCCAAGGCAAAGGGAGGCAACCGTGCTGAAACTGAGTTAGTAGAAACGTATATCATAATGTAACTTTTGTAGGGGAATGAATACCTTCTGATGTTTGGTATGTCAGTTATGTGTCCCTCTTTTTCGTCAAGTTGTTGCTTGGAGATCTGTCCTCTTGCGAAGAACATAAGGAGGGGGGAGCCTTAAGGAGGACGCTCCGTGGAATCTAGTTAGTTGACAAGGCGTTAAAAGCAACGGGGGGATAAAAGAGCCAAAAGTCTCACGGGTCAGCACAGGGTCAAGGAAACGTAGACACTTAGAAACTTAAAGTAGACTGACCAGGGACAGAGGCCAAAGTCTCAACTCTAATGACGCCCAGCCACACTTCGGCCATCAGGACAGAAAGAGCAGCTGTGCAGAAGCTTTTTTCCTGAAAGACGGCACGGGAACGAAGTCCAGTCTACAGCAGAGCACAATTAAGGGGATTCAAAGTGCTTCACATCTGCATGAAATAACACAAGGCTAATCAAACATTCCACACAACATTAGTATAATGCTTGAAATAGCAAAGATCCACGCTTCACTTACTATATTCCAGTGTTATTTCTAAAATCCAAGACAGTTGTTACTAATTGAATATCCTCCCTCCTTGTTTGGGCTTTTGATCAATACTTGTGGTGCTGTGAGTCCTTTGAAATGTTAAATTTCTATTTTAAGATAAAAACATGGAGCATTGAGAGTTGGTCTAGAACGACACAGATTATAATTTATATTTGGTATAATGATTAAACCGTGGTCAGTCATAGCCAAAGTAGGACTTGTTAATTAACCGGAGTATGTCTGAGTTTTCTGCATCTCTCCCTCCATATTTTGGAGAAATGCAAAATGCTGGGTTCAGACTCTGTCAGGATGTGGAAGAAACACCTGCCCACAATGAGTACATATATATATATATAGTGACAGAACTGTTATTCACTAATCCACTTCTCATCTTTAACACGTACAATTATCTATCATGATCATCTCACCTTAAGAATTTGTCTGATTTTCAGTTTGTAAAACGAATAAACAAGTTAACAAAATCAAAACACTTTTTTTTTCTGTGGGGCCGCAGCTGTGGGAAGGCATAAGTCTTCTTTATTAATGACTTGCTAGGGTTTACTTTTACATAATAAATAAACCACTGAGGTACACTTTGCTAGTCAGGAGAGTTTAACTTGGTTAATTACCAGATTCTTCATTCTGAAACCTCACTATGAAAAAATACTGTGTGTTCTTGGATCCTAAAAAGTTTCTCATAAAGCGGTTAACTCTGTTTCTGTTTTTCTAAAACCCGTCTTCTCAAAAGAGAAAAGCATATATATTAAAAGTATTAAAAAAAAGAACAATTGATAACACAGTTTGGAATTGAGCGGCTTGTTCGACCATCAGGTTTTTTTTTTCTTGCATCATAGTTTGAAATTTGTGTTTCAAAACAGCTAATCTCTTTTTTAGTTTAAAAAAATACTTCTGATTCCAAAACCAAAAGCGTCACTCTGGTATATCAAGAAGCCTCCATCTAAAATGTTAACAAGGACAAAAAAAAGAAGTCAACTGTTTAAATTTCCTCTGTAAACTCACTACTGTGTGTAGAATCAGAGTAACAGGTTTACACCCGGGTCAGGGAAATCTCTTTCCAAAGCTGGAATGTAAGAATAACTGTCCTCAAGGTTGAGGCATGCTAGATCACACAGAGAGATCGATTCTGCCCTTTGAAGGTGTGAAAGGCCCGGGGCGGTTCCCTAAAGCTGCAGAGGAGCTGCACCTCTCCGCATAACGCGGCTCAGCAGAACTGGCTCTGCCAATGGAAACGCACTTCAATTACGCAAACTGACGGCAAACATGGAAACAAGCAACAGATGCATATTTGGTTTGTTGTGACATACCAGGGGAAATTCTTTAGTAACCGAAGGGGGGGGGGGGTCACATGACCGATTAACAGCGGTCTGTCTGGTTTGTGGCACAAAGCAGACGCGTTTGTGCCACCAGTCTGTCCCTTTTTCTAGCTGTGAAATTTAGATTGTCTTCCCCAAGTTCCAGGCTAGATCTGAGGAGTTGGTGTTTGGGGATTTTTTATGATGATTTGTTTAGATTTTTTTTACTCTAAACAGAAAGAAATGGCGTGTCAGGCCAATAGCACAGTACATGTGCTTTACATGTGCATTGTCTCCTGGAGTAAGGCCCCAAACATGTCTCCACAGTGTAAAAAGTAGGTTTCTATCCATTCATCACTAGCTGTCTGTGTGTTATTTACACTCAGCAGCATCTGAGTGCGAAAAGGGGAATTGATGAGTATGCACATAAGACATGTGTGCGTTTTTTCTAACCCATAAACTGCCTTTTTATAAAGGGATAAATCTGTGGTGGGAATGTGTATGGCCCATGCATACTTCACATTGTTTGTACACACATGTTTTCTGTTGCAGATCAACCCTCTCAAGTCGAAATGAGACACAAGGAGAGACAGATTGAGGCGTAAAGTACGTCTTGGAAAGCTTATCCTCTTTACAAAGATCTTAATCAATACGGACCCTTTAAACATTCATAGGTCCCAATGCGTGGTGAACACTTCATTAAAAGTTAATTAAACCCGATTCAAACGGTGATGCTTGGGTGATCTGTGGCTATGCGAAAGTCATTCCTGAAGATGTTGAATAACCTCAGGTAAAGTCTAACTATACTGTGCAAAGGATAAACGAAGGGAGTGTCTAATAGTTCATGTGCAATAGTGGCAGGGTCAATCAGGCTCATGCATGGCACCACGACCGAGAGTTATAAAAGGTGACCGTGGGCATTCGGGACGCCCGACCACAGGAATGCACATTTTGTGGGCATTAACAAACAGCGTTACATGATCCACATGCAGTATGTAACTGTGAGAAAGGGATGGCCCCACTGATTCCACCACGGTCGGGATGCCATTCCATGTAGTCATAGCTCACGCACGTTTGCAGCTCCGTTCATGTTAAGACTAAGGCATTTCAGATGAGAGAAAAACCAGAGGTCCTTAATCACCCTCCTCTTCATTACCGACAACATTAAGCAAGCTAATTGTTCAGTAGCAGACGGTATTGTTTCTTCAAGCCTTAAAAATGACATTTTCTGAGTCTTCATGCAGATTTTGAGTTGGCAACAGGAGCCACAGACCCCCCTCTCCTGAACTAAATGTAGCTGAGTGCTCTTAGAGAACGGCAATTAGCAGTTTGATCAGTTCTGGGTAAGTCTTTGATAACAGGAGGAGGCCCAGACCTCGTCCTGTTCCTGGCCAATCGTTTTTTGGCTGCTTCAATCTGTGCTTGTACACACTGTGGGCACATCTGAAAAGTAAGCAGGAGTCCTACAGAGCCATTAGTGTGCTGTCCATGTGCTCTTAGGCTCCCATCACAGGTGCTAACTGAACAATCCTCATTAAAGAACTCATGCAAGCCCACATGTGAATTATGGTGGTAAACAATCATCTGATTGGGACAACAAATGCACCTTAAAAACGTTCAAAACAACCCATTCAGTCCTTGAAGACTGAGCCAGGACCGAGCTGGAAGCTGAATGTCCAGCAGAGCTGGCTGGACGAGTGTTTTCAGAGGGGACTCCTTCATTCAGTGTGATGGAATGCAAATTCACGGTAACGTTGGTCCATTTTATATGGAACCATAAAGCTCCAGCAGGAAAAAACGCTGACATTTACTATGAAGAATTTAGCTTGAAAACCAAAAAAAATCTGATGCTCTGTAACAACATGCAGCGTAGATAGCAGATTTAGCCGAAAGCATTTCTGTTGCCAATGTGAGCCAGATCTTCAGACTCAGAATAAACAAGTGGGCTGGCCTTTAAAGACTCCGAGCCACCCAGCAGTTATAAAGACAAATATTTCTCCTTTGGACTAGTGAGGCTGGGAGAGGTGTGTTTGCAGAGGAGACAGAGGGGTGCTTTGTCCCCTTCTCCACCAGTTCGGCTCTCCAGTCTTTCCGAACCCCACCCCACCCCACCCCACCCCACCCCGTTCCACTTTCCCCTCTCTGGGTCAATCCTCCCTCCAGCCCACCTTCAGACTCCCTCATCCTCCAGTCTGCTCTCTCTGGGAGTGCTCACTAACCTCACTCTGAAGAGATGCTATCGCCTTTTTGCTGCTCCCTCCTGCTCATCTTTGCTCAACAGGTAAGAGGAGCGTTATCTTCTTCACTTCTCCCCCCCCCCCCCCCCCCCCCCCCAACAGGGCCGTGATGCTCCGCGTGGTCCGGCTGCAAAAGCCACCTGCAAAAAAGGTGGAAACGTGTGTTATTTTAGGATTACGGGGCTCAGCTTCAGTCTTTAAAGGCTGAGCTGGAAACAAGCAAAAAGAAATCCAGCCAATGATAACAAACAAGCAACGGCCAATGTGATGTCTTAGTTTCTGTGGACGCTTTCACGCCAGAATATGAGCTCATTCTGTAAACCTGGCAGACAGGCTCCAGATTTTTGCCGTAACCCCCCGGTGGCCTTTGGAATCTAACCAGATGGCTCTATGCAAAGTTTTCATCAAAGCAGAGAAAAATCAGAGAAATGACAGAATTTAAGACAAGAATATCTGAAAGTTTAAAAAAAAGGCTATTTCTAACCAAAGGAAAAGCTTTGCATAACAAAATAAATTACAACAAAACAGACAAAAAAGGTGAATCCAAGGCAGCTTTAAGAATTTCAAGCTGATGTACGAAGAAAATTTCAGATATAGAATGAAACACAATGTTCAAACATTTAACTTCTGAACAAATATTACAGCTGGTTCCCCAAAACCTTTACAAATCTGGGACCCTGGTTGTTAAGATTTGGACTCAAAACAATAGCGCAGTAAAAGTTCCAGCTTCCTGTTCAATCCGGCTTATTCTACAGAGAGAAATTATTTATTTAAAGCAACAGCACGGAGCACAAGCAAATTCAATTAAAGGAGAATTTTAAAGAATCAAATCTAGTTTAATTCCAAATGAACTGAACGTATTAAATGTGGTGTTTGTTCCAAATATGTTCAGTTAATTGGGAGGACAGGCCACGGCAGAGAGGTTAAACAGCTTCCCAGGTCTTCTTTACTAAAGTATTAGAACATGCAGAGTAACTGTTTGTATTCTTACACTTCCCTTGACTATCTTAAAAAGTAAGATATAAGGCAAGTTTTGATTCACTCACCATCCACAGGAAAAACTGGATTAGATAAAAACCGAAGGCAACTTTTAACTTTTAAGGGTCATTTCACATCGGCCCTTTGAGGTGGGTCTGGTTCTTGACTTTGTCTGTTAAATCCCTTGAATGTCTCCCGTTATGTTGTCTTGACTTATAATTCTCAAACTCAACCTTTTCTGTTTTACTGACATTGGAGAAGCTAACCATTAGGAGGACAGAAAGTCTCTACCTTATGGGATTCCTTTATTGAAATGCAGCCTATCTAGATCTAGATGCCTCTTTAGTGGCTGATGCTTTTTGACCTGACCGCTAAACCTTTAGTTGGGCTCAGATCTGTAGGGGTCTTTATGTTATTCCAGCCCCAGTGACCCTTTATTCGTAGATTCCTGGTAGGATAGTTATGATCAAGAAGCTTATGAAACTTTTCCTGAGAGGAGAGTACTCTTCTTTCTAAAAAGAACTGCGTCAGACCCAGAAAAACAACATATGTCATCCCTCAAACATGACCACAACTTTAACGTTCATGGCTCCAAAGCCTGCGGAGAATTTAAAGTCCAACAAAAAAAATGGAAAAGTTTAGATTATTTTCATTTAAACTTTGAAAGCTGTTTGCGTGTGGCTCCTCTCCCTGCTTCTACAATGTCTGTGCTGATTTCCTTATGTCTGGATTTGATCTCCTCCATTGTTTATGCACATATTATCTGTTCTGAAATCTTTCAACCCTTTACAGCATTGTTAGATAAAAGACAGAATCTTTTGTAAACTGCACGGGGCCCACGATGGCTATTTAAATATAAAACAGTAAGAGGAAATGGAAATACAGAATATTCTAGAACACAGCTTACAGACATCAGTCAAAACTTTATTGTTTCATCATTATTTTTCCATAGGTGACGCTGATGGTTCATTTAGTTGCTTTCATGATGGATTAGTGTTACTGTAACAACCAAATTGCATTTGCCTGTTGGCCTGATACCTATTATTGTATATGGCTAAGGCTTTGGTAAATTAATTGATTAAAAAATGGGTTTAACAACATTACGAACCTGGAAAAAAAGCGATTTAGCCTTGAGTAACAGTTCAGTATTGTAGTGGCACTCTGCGTCCCAAAAGTTTGTTGTACCACCTTTGCAGTTTGTCTAGTAACCAATATCTGAATCACTCGACTGAAACCAAGTCTTCTTTTACGATATTTACTTAAACAACTAAAAAAAAAGTACACTTGCAGAAAAAATAAAATAAATAAAAGGCTTGGTACAGATAGGTAAAAAAATTGTGCTGCTTCCACTGTATCGAACTGCAATCTAAACTTAAACGTGCATACGGGCAATATTATTTTTACGCATTACGTATTGGAAACCAAATTACTTTTCACAATAAAAGCATCATTATGAATCAACTAAATTATATATTCTAGAAAATATACTCATCAAGAATTCCCCAAAAAGAAAATTAAGCATATTTATACATTTTTAATCTAAATTATTATTCTATATGAACTCCCCATTAACTGGCTCTTACAAGTATCAAATAAGTTTAACTCTTCTACTTACTGAATTCAGGAGTCACCATTTTTTGCTGGGACTCAGATGATTTGGGCAAACAGGGGTTTATTTCATCAGCACTTTCTGCACAGGCTGGTGTATTTTGCTTGGGGCAGAGTTGAACAGGACCTATGTTGACTGAAAAGTACAGAGTAGCCATTTGAAGTCCACGAGTTGGCTTAAGGCCGATTTCAGAGATAGATTTGATTCGTTTATACGCCGCCTCTCGCCCCATGCCGTGATTGGCTCCAGCCCCTGTGACCCCGCCAGGAATAAGAAGTATAGATAGGCTATAGATGGATGATCTGAATATACCTGCAGTGCATGAACACATACAGCTAAACTCTTAAACCAGGGCTAAATACTTCAGTGAAATCACAAAAGCTGCAGCCATCCTCACCACATATTTAAAAAACACATTTTTTTTTTGTGTTAACCACTGCAGGTAGATGGGAAGTTCAGATCTTAGTGTTTAGGGGTAAGAGTATGGTCAGTGCACTATATAAATCCCATCCCAGTTAATTATTTTGGAATGTTATGAGTTGTTGCACGATTGGTGGAACTTTACATTTCCGTCTTCCAACTTTTAAGTAAAAAAAAAAAAAAGAGACTTTCAGAGGAATCCAACAGAAAACTGGCACAAACATACACTGATCAGCCAGGACAACATGGCCACTGCCCTAATAATGATCTTTTCCTGCCAAAGAGCTCTGATGAAGAACACTCGAAAGTGTTCTGGGAGTAGGATTTCAGCAAAGGATTTTTTCCTTGTGGTTTGTGGAGAGGGTGTTCCTGCACTGGACTGGCTTCTCATGGATGCCATTAGATCCCATGAGATTAGTATCTGGATGGTTTGGAGGTTGGGGAGCACCACAGTTTGTGCGAGAAAAATGCTATATTGGGTGGTTGTGGTTGGATATTGGCTGTAAAGAAAGGTCAATAAAAAAACAACTTCAGATATGCTCCGTATAGAGTTAAGGCTGGACCCACTTCTGATTGTACTCGGAATTTCTGTTCAGCTTTCTCAATTTAATAAATATCAACGGCAATTATTATCTTATGCCTTTATCATAGGAAAAAAGCTAGTGCTGATGTTCTGGAAAAAACCAGAGGTTCCATCTGTTAAATTGTGGCTGGAGGAACTGGTGAGGCTCTCTCATTTGGAAAGAGTACGGTTTTCATTAGCAAATAACTTAAAGCGATTCAACAGAACTTGGCAACCCCTTCAGCAATATATTAATAACCCTATTTGAGGATGATTTGTTTTGGTTATTGGTGTGATCTGATGTAAGTCCCAGGAAAAGGGGAGGAGGGTGGGTTGGGGGAGAGGGGAATGTCCTTATTTTTGTCACTTTTGTTTTGTTTTAATTTGGTATTGTCTTTATGTTGTATGTTCACATAAAAAAAAAAGAAAAAAAGAGAACAAATATATATTGTTGAGGTTGTAATTCTCATGGCGGCACGGTGGTGTGGTGGTTAGCACTGTCGCCTCCCAGCAAGAGGGTTCTGGGTTCGAATCCCGGGGACCTTTCTGGGTGGAGTTTGCATGTTCTCCCTGTGTCTGTGGGTTCTCTCCGGGTTCTCCGGCTTCCTCCCACAGTCCAAAAACCTGCATGTTAGGCTGATTGGAGATTGGGGAAATTGCCCTTAGGAGTGAATGTGAGTGTGAGTGGTTGTTGGTCCTTGTGTGTCTCTGTGTGTGGCCCTGCGATGGACTGGCGGACTGTCCAGGGTGTACCCTGCCTCTCGCCCGTTGACCACTGGGATAGGCTCCAGTTCCCCCCGCGACGCCATGAGGGAATAAGCGGTATTGATAATGGATGGATGGATGGATGGATGTAATTCTCATGTTTGATTTCTCAATAAAACAGTTTGACAACAAATAAAACAAACAACTTGATAAGAATTTTGAATAACGACTGCTGTTTTTTTTTCCCGCAGTGTTTTAGCCGGGCTCAGAACGATGGGCAGCAGCCGGTCCCTAAAGCGGCCGAAAGGCGACAGTTCTGCCGGTGGCCCTGCGAATGCGGGGAGAGGCCGTTCTGCGCCCCCGGCGTGAGCGCGGTGCTGGACGGCTGCGGCTGCTGCAAAAGCTGCGCGCGGCAGATGGGGGACGCGTGCAACGAGAGGGACGTGTGCGACCCCCACAAGGGAATGTACTGCGACTTCTCCGCAGACCAGCCGCGGTTTGAGGTCGGGGTCTGTGCTTGTAAGTTGAACTCCACTGGTTACCCTCGGGCTGCCCGTATCAAATTCAAGTCCCTGATGCTAGCACTACAAAGTGCTTAAGGGTACGGCTCCCCGTCTACTTGAATCCCCCTTGCAAAGGCTTATGTCACTACTCGATCACTCCGGTCATCAGAGGATTGTCGTCTAGCAGAGCCTTCACCACGCTAACCCTAACCCTAACCCTAACCCTAACCCTAACCATCCAGACTGTTTAATGTGTCGTTCCAAGATGGTGGAAGGTCCACAAGAACAGCAGAGTCCCTGTTTGTCTTCAAGAAACTCTTGAAGACCCACCTCTTCAAAGAGCATCTCCTATCC